TTCTTCCTCTCATCCCTCTTGTGTTGATTTTTTTCTTAGATTTGGAAGAGAAATTTCATCTTGAAGGAAAATTAGGGCAAACCCTAATTTGTGAAACCTAAGACGTATCAGCATGTTATTTTAAACATGCGCAAAAATGAACTTGTAAATGATCTTTTGGATATTTACAGTACAATCAATGAATGATGGATAACATTCTAATAATGCTATCTTCTTTAAAAGTCTAGCGTTTGAAATGGATGAAATTAGAAAAATTTGAATAGGTTACATAAGAAAATAAATATCCATAAGAAGCTAATGATATATCAAGGAATCTATCTTTATTAAACCAAGCCACACAAAGGTGAGAGCATTCAGTGTTATTGACCTTTGGTGTATAGTTGATGCCAAGAGAGATGTAAGGGACACTAAGGCTTATGGTGCAAGAGTGGCACTCATTCTCGATGGCTTAGAATCGAATGAAGCTGAGGAAGATGCTATAGGGATGTGAGGGATTGTGGTGCAAGAGCAGTGTACATGCGTTGGAGTCAAACATTGCCGAGCAAGACGAGAGAGGCGGGGTTTATGGGACCGAGAGCTAAAAGTGGCATGCTATTGGTTACAAGGAACTAATCAAACTAAAAATAAATATTAACTAACACATATATTAATTGTAATAGTAGGGGGGCTATGTGCCACGTGTTTTGGCCATAAATAGAACACATTATTTTAACACCCCCTCTGAATATTCCATAGTGGTTGCTCTATGTTGGGCTGCACTATGCACCATAGCACGCTCTATTTTTTACGCTGTTGATGTGCATGGACTTAAAGGACATGAGGTGGACATAGCTTATGAGAAGGTGTTGGTAATAGACCCTGTCCAATGTGAGTGATGGAGAGAGATTGTGCATTTCTTGGTAATCTATTGCTTCCTGTGATATGTTTAAATGATGTGAATCTCGATTTGATTTGATCTAATATGGGATGTTGATCTTGTGCCTAAGAACCACTCTTTTTTGGTGCAGATGATTCAATGAGGAAAGCATGAGATGCAATAGATTTGTGGCTGACAAGAGTTGGTAGGTGATATCGAACCTTTACCAGCATTTGAGTAGGCTTACTACAAATTTGATGGATGATTAGTGAGGGTCAGGATTTGTTTCTTTAGAATTTAGGAGCAGATGGTCTCTCGATTATATTTGTTGAGGGAGCTTGACCTTTGTTAAGTTGGAATTTGCCTCTTCACCTGCCTTTGGTTGAGGCCAAAGCAAGTTGAAAATATGGTTGCAAAGTGAAATAGAGTTGTCGGATTGATTCTTGAGCAAGGTTGGTCTCGATGCTACATAATAGGGATTACAAATCATCGATGTTGATGTGTTGTAGGTTTGTGCGAAGGGCGGTTTTGAGCACGTGGTATGAGGGAAGAGGGCATTTGAGAGTGTAGTGTATAATGTTTTCTAGATCCATTGAGGATCGTACTGTAGCAATAGAGTGTCCTTGGATTTGGTTGTTAAGAGGTTTTGTGTCATGGATTGATCTTTTATGGAGAGATTGCATAGTTCATTTTTGAGCTTGATCACGTAGGTTTTGTTGGTGATTGTAGGTAGCGATCAATAGTAGATTAGATTTTCTTATAGGAGCCCAAATGTAGGACTTATGGTAAAAGGGAGGAGGAGATCATGGAATACAAGGCAGCGATCAAGTTTTGGTCGATTAGTAGCCATAGATTATGATTGTGTTTGAA